ACCAGAAACCACTAAAGCAAAAACTTAAGAACATACCTCGGAAAATTAAAAACATACCTTTGTCCAAATTATTTAGTCTGAATTAGTTCCTCAAGAAGATTTGTCAATGAAGTTCTCAACTCATTTCTGCTGCATGATCCTCATCACCTTCATTCTCCTCACGCATAATGTATTTTCATCTAGCGCAGTTCCTGCAGGTAAGCCATCTTTGTTATTCCAAAGTAACAGCATAAAATATTTCAAAGGAACTTCAAGATTAGCAACAAATTTGAACTTACTGTTTGCAGATAGAATCCAGGTTCAAACTTCTCGATGGAGATTACTCGAACCCAGACCTTATCATCCGCCACCACCGTGGGTGGCGATCAAACCACCAATAATCCACTATTGACTAGAAAGTGAGCTTCTTCCTCTATTATGATTAGCTGGGTATTTCAACGCTGAAATTTGCTTAAAACAAGGGAAAATCAATTAGTAAACTACCAAGTCATTAAAACCGTGGCTTTACAAGTTTTCTACTTTTTCTTTGTGAAATCTATCTATGGCCTGATTGTGATTTCACCACTAAATGAAATCTTATTTGGATATGTCTGACCACATGGTGCCTTTTAAACAAACACGTTCTCTCAGGAAGTGCTTATTGGAAATGAAGCTGATAGTGAAGCCCATGTTTTAAACCTAGAGAAGATGTGTTTGTATATATGTGAACAACTTTCAGCTTCCCATATTTATATGCCCAAGAATCCATGATTATCAAGTGCTGGGTCAATTTATGTTCCAGATGTAAGAATTATTTTTTTAAATGAATGGTTTAGTTGTAGCATGATACTAATTTGGTTGAATTTTCTCATCTGAATTCTGTGGAGGTCGCTATATATGCTCAGGACTTGTTGAATAGATTGTTCCAGTGGTCGATAGACACCAATACAAATTTCACTTTAAGTGTGGATTGAGATTGCTGCACTGTTGGTTTTGGGACCTTCCATTATGGGTGGTATACTGTAAAACTTATAGCTAAATTTTATAACCTCTATATATAATAAAGCAATATTAGTACATGTATGTGTGAGTAAACCAAATCCTTCCAGACATAACCTATTGTTAGTGTGTGTGCGCGCGCACATGTGTTTTAATATACATATCTTTCTGAAAGTATGCGCACAGATGTGTGTATAGGATAGTTCCAGATACATACAGCAACAGATATATTGACATATATAACAGATTGGCAGCATTTTATGACAAGCGAAAATGATTGATGACAATAAAATACCTAATGAACCGTAAGACATAACAAAATATTTTACAATGTTCACACAAATAACAATTAGACTTTCTTTTTTTTCTTTTTTTCTTTTTTTTGGAGGAAAAGGGAAGATGACCAGAATGCAATTGTCAGAAATCCTATCTAAAATCATGAGCCACTAAAGACCAGAATAAAGTTACTTCACATATAGAAGAACCAAGACACATATGGTCATACTACTACATGTTTACATGAGCTTAAACTGTCAAGGAACAAGTAATGCAACCGCCATTTAATTCAGCAGACCTTGCATCAAATCTAAATAAGATAGGTATCAAATGAAAAATCTAATATTTTAACCATAAACCATAACCCTTAGGCATCAGATGAGGACACCTAGTCATCATCAAAGTACAAAGTTAAAGAATAATCACCGCATTTCACCTATTTAGCAATTGTGAAATGTAGACAGCACATATTCTCATAAAATCTCAAACATATCAACAACAAAACAACAAAGCTACATACAATGCAACCATAATTCTTCATTATTCTCACAAAATATTGAAAATTACTACCACTTAGACAATGATGCAGGACGTCAAGACAACAATCAATAATTAAAATGATACTCTGAAAGTAACTCCCCAATCTAATTTATTGAACTTGGCAATCATCACATTCTCGCGAAACTTCAATGCCTAGACTACAAAAGATAACAGATGAGAAATCGAACACAAGAAGCTTTCTGCAAGAAGGCATCTCATAATCTCACAAACTCTTCAATATAATAAACATAACCCAATAATGTGAAACAGTCAAAGAGCAATTTTCTAAGATACCCATCATTTCAAATTCACCATACTCTTCACAAAAGAATCTCATCACAAAATAAGTTAAACCCCTTACCTACATTCTATAACAAATACAAAAACAGAAGCCATGCATATCTTTTACAATTACCAAGGCCACAACACACGTCAAATTGCAATTTTGAAAGATACTCATCATTTCCAATTACCCATATCTCACAACAACAGCTCCTTCACACATACTACCAAACATGAAACACCTTACCTACAAACATATTCTCCTCAGAAGTGGACACATCAAAATGCAGTTTTAAATGACACCCATCATTTCCAATTAACCAAATTCCACAGCATTTCATTCGCACAATGTATCAAACACCTTACCTACAAACCATAAAGCAGTAGAAGACAATAATAAAGTTTACACAAAATAGACACATCGAGATGCAATTTTGAAAGATACCCATCAATCCAATTACCCAGATTCCACGATAATGTATCCAAAACAAAACTATGAAACACAAATTCCAATTACCCATCGGAACACAAATCAAACAGCCTCAGTCTGCGTCGGCATCTCCCTGAGCTCCGCCGGCACAGCCTCAGGCGCCTTCGGGGCATTCCTCGCGATCACCGGGATCGCGAGAAAAGTCTTAGTCTTGCTAATAGGCCTAATTTTTTCAAGCTGCACGTAGTCCCCAACATTGAACTTGTTCTCTGGGTCGTGAGCTTGGTACCTCTTCTTGATCCTGACCCTGCGCTTGTATTTGGGGTGTGGGGCCAAGCGGACGACCTCGACGGCCACGGTCTTGTCGTTGGCGTTCTTGACGACGCGGCCTTGGAGCTTTTTCATGGCTTGGATTAGGAGGGTTGAGGGAGGAAAAGCGGAGGTTGAGGAGAGAGTGGGAGGTTTGGGGAGAAGGGCATTTTGGGAAATTGAGGAGGCGGCGTTGACAAAGGGGGAGGGATGGGGCTTGAGGGAGGATAGGTTGAGGAGGGGGGAAGTGAGGAACATGGTGAGGGTGGAGATAACGGAGGCTTGAGAGGGAGCGTTAGGATAAGAGGGACGTAGTTTCATTTGGGGTTTGGGGGGCTTTCGATACATATACCCCTCAATGCGTGTTTATTTTCAAATTTACCTCTTAAATCCTCATAACTTTTTTTTGTTTTTAAGAAACTAGCATCGTGGCCAGTGCCGAGCACGGGCTACCCTTAATTTGGTATTTTATTTAAGGGAGTTAGTCATCTAGAATTTAAAATTGGAACTGGAATAATCCGTGGGATAAATTTTTAAGGTGTTAGTCACATAGAGCTAAAACTCGAACAAAGTTTTACAGTGTTAGTCAAGTAGAACTCTAACAAAACTAGAATTGGGATAATGGTACAAAATTATCCCACTTTTTTTATTTTTCTATACAAAAATGAGAGTTCTGGTCTCTCAAATTATTCCAAGTTCTAGCTTAGAACTATGTGGTAAAGAACTAGAACTCATATTTATTTTATTATTTTTTATTTTTTATATTTCTTTTTTTTCTTTACTTCTTTACTATTATGGTTATCACCATCATTAGACAATCATTATAATAATAATTGTCAATATCTTGCAGTCTAACTAAAAGTTATTTAATAGTAAAGAACATTCTTGTAAGCAATTATCAATCAATAATAGTAAGTTTAAAATACATTTAGTCTTTTTCCGTAGAAAAAGACACCAGAGTTCGATTCTGGGGTATTCTATCCTAAAACCTAAGTAGTGATAAGTCTGCGCTTAACCCGCGCTGCCGGTTAGTTCTTAACCGTTAAAAAGAACACCCGCCCACATATTCAATATTGTGGCAGGTCGCCCGAAATTCCTATAGCCCTCAAAACCCTTCCCCACGTGACCCGACGTGTAAAAACAAAAAGAATTCCCAAAATGCCCTTTGATTTAACCGCCTCCTATTTATGTATATCATTCCTCGTCGATCGTGTCATCTCATGCAGCTGGTCACTCTATCAAGCCAGATATTAGAGAGTGAACAGTAGTACTGTAACATTAAATGGTGATTAGAATGTAGTTTTGGAGGGAAATAACCTCATTTTCCTCCAAATTATTACAATTTCCTTTCCTACCCTGTAGTAAATCCATCTCCTCCCCCCTTGCTTACCCCAACTACTCTCTTCCGGCCACTTAATTCTCCTCAATAAATCCTTTTTGATTTTTCAACTACTCTTCTTTAAAATAACGGATGGATCCCTTCTTTGCATGGTTACAAACACAAAAAGTAACGTAGAGCGTGAGGGTGTTTTCGTAGTTATCAACAAGTCTACAGAAATCATTAGCTTAAAATATCAAGTGTCCCAAAGGCCTAAACTACCATTGCAATCTCTTTCACTGAAATTCATATCCGAAAGGGAAAAAAAAGTTCAGTAACATTCATATCCAATACCAAAGGATAACAACAAATCTATAACATTAACAACCAATCCCTAAGCTTCACAACCAAAGATTAACCTTAACAACCAATCTGTAACCTTAACAATAAAACCCTAAGCTTCATAATTAAAGTCTAACCTTAACAACCAATTTGTAAACTTAACAACCAATCCCTAAACTTCACAAACAACCTAACCTTAAGAATCAATCTCCAACATTAAAAACCAAGAGTTTCAAAAAACTTACAATCCCTTTTGTTCCTCGTATGGAACTATGATTAGGTTAAATACGATATACAATTTGTTCTCGTTGAAGCTAGCTTTAATGTAGTTTAAGGCTTTAACAATGTTGAGCACAGGTTCCCAATGTCCAGATCATTCTCTCAAGGAGTCATAATGCTTGGCAACATTATTTTTTACATCAAACTCCAAGAGATGCCAATGATCTCCTTGGACAATGGGAACTAGGAGGTTAATAATTCCTTCATCGATGAAATTTTTGATAAAGATTTCATATGCATCTCGGTAGTCAGGTCTTTCCACATGTATTGTATATTGTAATCAAGAATTAGACTGATCAGAAACTTTTAACATAGATTGAAATAGATAATAGATATATGCCCTAGATATATATACTTACTGAAAACAAAACAAAGACCAGCCCATATTTTTTGCGACATGATTCGTTCTATGGCATGCTCTGCCATTCACGTATTGTATCAAGTAGCGCATCAGTATCCTATAAGATGTCAAACAATATATAAATAATAGTAATATAAAAGATGATAAACAATAATTATTAAGAAGAAATTTTATCTTACTGAATCATCTAGTCGACCGCCACATAAAATATTAAGATGCTCAAATCGGTCAATAGATGACCATTGACCTTTGTACACTTTAATCAAACTGCAAAAAGAATGAAAAAATTAATATAGTTAGCAACATATACGTAATCTTAACAACCAATACCTAAGCTTCACAACCAATGCCTAGCCATAACAACAAACCTGTAACCTTAACAACCAAATAGTAATCTTAATGACAAACCAGTAACTTTAACAACAAATTTGTAACCTTAACAACTAAATCGTAACCATAACAACAAACCAGTAACCTTAACAACAAACCCGTGACCTTAACAACCAACCTGTAACCTTAGCAACCAAACTGTAACCCTAACAACTAGTTGATAACCTTAAAAGTAAAGTTATAAAATTGTAATATGAGCTAAATACTGACTTGTTACAGCTACAAATGCAGAAATGGTTTTGAACTTTATTCTCCTCTTCCGTCAGTAGGGCAACAACATCTGTCGACACCTTCTAATTATGAAAAAAATTGGGTGCTTATCATAAAACTTGGTGATGAAGCCTTCAAAAAAGGGAATCCCCATGTTTAAGTTATCCTTGTACTTTTCTTCTTCCTTGCTCATAGGGGAACTCATGAGGGTTTTCCAGATTGAGTGGGGATCACCATGTAGCCCAGCAGGCAACAATTCTATTCCCTTTATCTCCACCTACTCTTCTCCTTTTCCACCACTTCTATAATTTCCTTTTTTTCCCCAAAAATTATTTTTCTTTCTTCTTCTTCCCCTCAGTATAAGGGGTAACTATATGTTTAGAAGGCTTCATCGTTCTTTTTGCTCTACTTTTTTTAAGGGGTGTGGGCACCTTTGCATCCCTCTTTCTCTTATTCAATTTGATAATAAGAGGAACATATTCATCCTTAAAAAATATGTCAACTTCTGGTGGAGGGACATCCCCTGGTAGAGGTTGAGGGACTTCCCTCTCAATGTCAATGCCAGCCACGATGTGTGGAGTGCCTGATTCAAAAAACATTCAAAATATAATTATGAAAAAATTTAACAACCGCTATCTAACCTTAACAACAAATTCATATACTTAACAATTAATTGATAAACTTAACAACCAAACCATAAACTTAACAAAAATCTGTATACTTAACAATCAATCCTTATACTTAACAATCAATCCCTATACTTAACAAGAAATCCCTAACTTTAACAACCAATCTGTCACCCCAACAACTAATATCTAACCTTAATAACCAATTTTTAATTTTAACAACTATAAAATATAATCCACAAGTAATAAAAAAGGGATCTAACCTATACAAGTTTGCAACTCCATCACTAGGCTGGACACTTCTCCAGTCGGCTCCCTCTTTTCCTTATTCATTTTAATAATAAGATGAACTTCTTCATCCTCAATAAATATGTCAGCTTCTGGTAGAGGGACTTCATCTGGACAAGGACCTTCCAGCTCGATATCAATGTTAGTTATATCAGTTGGTGGTAAATCCTCTTTTGGAGGGACTTCCCATGGTAAAGGGCATTCGTTCTCCTTATTAATATCAGTAAAGTCTAGTTGAGGGACTTGCCTCTCAATGACAATGCCAGCTACGATGTTTGGAGTGCATGTTTCTAAAAAAAGAACATTCAAAATATAATTATGAAAAAACTTAACAACCGCTATCTAACCTTAACAACAAATCCATATACTTAATAATCAATCCATAAACTTAACAACCAATCCCTTAACTTAACAACAAATTCGTATACTTAACAATCAATCCCTATATGTAACAATCAATCTCTAACCTTATCAATCAATCTCCAATCTTAACAACAAATCCCTAACTTTGACAAGTAATCCGTAACCCTAACAACCAATCTCTAACCTTAATAACCAATTTATAATTTTAACAACTATAAAATATAATTCACAAGTAATGAAAAAGGGATCTAACATGTACAAGTTTGCAGCTCCAGCGCTAGGCTAGACACCTCTCCCATCGGCCTCTTATTGTTATATACAGTGAGACTTCTGCATCGAGCATCACTTAGTTCCTCTCTCAGCCTCCTCACTTATGCAGACAGATAAGCCACTTTCATAGATAGAGAAGTTATCTCTAGTCGGTCGGCAGCAATCTGATCTTTGGGTTTCTTCTCTCGCAACGTAATTTTTGATTCAATATCGCGATACTCTTCTAATAGCTTACTTGCTGAGGCAATTCCATTTGATCAACTGCCTCATTCTGCTGCTTGACCGCTTCATCAATATTATGTGGCGTAGTCTATACAATGGACAGTTAGAGTATTATTAAAAAAAGAATAATTAAAAACCAATAGACACCATTAACATAACATTTATAATTCACAATTACTACAATGCTTACCCATCCTTCAAGAATGATATTATCTTATGTCCCCTTTTTCTTTTTGAGAAGAGGTTGTCTTGGGCCACGTGCCCTACCGGCATCTCTAGCAGCCAGTTCCTTATTCTTCTNCTCTCTCTCTCTCTCTCTCTCTCTCTCTCTCTCTCTCTCTCTCTCTCTCTCTCTCTCTCTCTCTCTCTCTCTTTATTCTTCTCTTATTTTTTCTTCTTCTCTTTCTCCTTCTCCTGCTCCTTCCCTCGCAAACCTCCCTCAAGACTTTGAACTTGGCCCTGGAACTGTGCAAGCTTTATAGTAGTGTAGAACCCCGTATTTAGTTAGAAGTATATGTGAATTATTAGTGATAAATAATTCTATTTGTGGTAAAAGACTTGAGGTCATGGATATGCTTGGTAACAAGTTATTAGATATGTACGAGTGTGGTTTCATAGAGTTCCGTGCATTGGTTTTGGCTGAATAACAAAACATGCA